ATATGTAATTATGTACTCAGAGGTGGGTAGAGTAGCCAAATACTGTACTCAAGTAAGAGTATTGTTGCTTTAAAACAATAAAACTCAAGTAAAAGTAAAAAGTATTTTGCATTAAAACTACTCTGAAAAGTACAATTTATCTAAAAAGTTACTCAAGTAAATGTAACTGAGTAAATGTAATTAATTACTACCCACCTCTGGTTTTGACAGTACAAAGAGTTAAAGGGTCATGTTTAGGGCAAGATGGCTGTAGTTGCATTAAGTCACTACACTGGACCCTAGTGTGTCACTGCCACACACTGCCACCAGCTGGCCAGGTGTTGTCAGTGCAACACAAAAATGTTAGAATTTGTTTTTTTTAAAAATACGAACACTCCAATTTAACAGCATTAAAATCTATTTTTATACTTTCCCATGATATATATCATTTTTTGATTGGTTCATATTTTGTCAAATCTTAAAACACATGCTGTCCACCTGAGTGGACATGTGAAAAGCCCCGTGGAAAATACATGTTAAAAAAAAAAGAACTTAAATATTTTTGTCATGAATAAAAACACTTAAGAAAAAAAAATCTTGACTGAGGTCGCAATAATTCATCCATGAAAGGGTTAAGATCTCTACACACTTTAGTCACTGGAGTTTGTGTTACTTCAGACATAAGGACCAGTCAAAGGTACACTGGGGAGAAAGACAGACACATCTTCCTTTCCTTCTTCGTGGTCTGGCTTGGCGCCAAAATCACGCGCGCCCTCTCCCCCCGTGTTCTGCGATGACGTTGCCACTGTGCTCGGATTCTGATTGGACGGCTGTGGCTCAACTTCAGTACCCCTCCAGCCGAGCCCCCTCGAGCTCAACAGCCACAGCGCGAGGGCGCCTTGACGACTCGAGGCAGCTGCTGGAGCGCAGGACACCTGTTGCCACGGAAACAGCACCGGTGGGAAAAATCACCAATAACAGAAAACAGAAGAAAGTGAGTTTTTACAGCCGCCATTTTGAGTTTGTTGGTCTGTTAACTAGTGATGGAAGAAGATAATTAACTTGAGTCAAAGGACAACACCATGGTGTGCAAGCACTCTGCAGACATAGTGGTGTTAATGCAGTGTTTTTATTTTATTTATCAGTATTGTTATATCATTAATATTCTTATATTTTATTTAATATAAGGGACTGCTCTTTAATTATCAGAGGAGGACGGTGACTTTGTTTTGTTGTTGTTTTTATCTTCCCTGAAGCCACAAATATTTTTCTTTGAGCCTCCCTGAGTGACAGGCAGAAAAATGCATGACCCTCTGGTTCCTAGATTTCTAAAACTTCTCCATTGATGTTTGAAAGTTTGAAATCCTGGCTGGCCAGTTAATGCAGACAGTTTATTTTTGGTCAAATTTAAATGAGACGTACAACGAAGTGATTTTGTGAAATGTCACTATTTTACTCTTACGTTTTTATGTATTTATTTATTTATTTTTCAGTTTTTGGCTATGATAAAGTTAATTTTTGGTGATTTTCGTGTGGGTTTCGTGGCCATGTTTTCTTTGTAAATAGTCGGCAAAATAAATACAAAATACATTTAAATTTATAATAATAATACATAATATTCCATTTGTTGTTTATATTTGAATTATTAATCTGAATCCGGAAAAACAACAAGTAGCTAAAGTTGCCAGATAAATACAGTGGCGTAAAAAGCACAATACTTCCCTCTGAAATGTAGAGTAGATTTAGCATAAAATGCAAATACTCAAGTAAAATAGGGCCGAAATCTACTTCAGAATTTTACTTGAGTAAATGTACTCGTGAAGTCGTCACCTTTACTCTGTTTCCCTGGGAGGCACTTTCACCTTTTGCCGAACCGAGTCAATAAAGCTGAGATGGGTTGTAGTGGAAAAAGTAAATACTACACTACTTGAGTAAATGTACTTTCCACCGCTGCTGTTAACCCGTGTGTTTGAAGTGACATTTATTAAAATGAGATTATAGTGACCTTATTATACATTTTAATTGTCTATAATGATTGTATAATATTTTAATCTTACAATACTTTGATAGCACTCTAAAAACTTTTGGCAATGTTCTCATGTATGATAATCCAAAGAAAATATTTCATGGTTAGTTAGACTACAAATACTTTTTTAATACTCTTTGTTTCCTGCGGTATGTTTTGTTTTATGTATTTAATTCTAAATCTTTCCAGTGGTTTGTTATCCTGAGCTTGTAAATCAGTATGTGGGTCAGTGCACGACCTCCTGATCCACCCACGTGCACCCGAACATGTACATTGTTATGTTTTGTCAACAGCGAGAGGTCACATGTGTTTCAGTGCGTCCAAACTGTTCTGGAGTGCCATGTAGAGCTCGTACACACTGTTTGCATATAATTAAGCCTCTCTGACATGTGTTCTGGTGGCTGGAGAGTGAGAGTGAGTTTATGTCCAGACACATCAGCTGTTTGTGAAGCAATCGGCGTTATATTAGTGGTAACAAACTTTATTTACTCTGGCAAGATACTTCACAGACACGCTTTGGTACAAGGTGAAACTGCGTCAGAGGGAACTGGAGTAAAGGTGAAAAGATGAAGTCAGACCCTGCTTGTGACGGACCAGAGGCGACACGCTGCTGAAACACAGCAGGAGGTGGAGGGCTATTTACAGAGTACATGGTCACATTCAGAGTTAAGGAGTGGAAGGTGTGATAGGAAAGAGCCAATGAGGAAGATAATCCCTGTGAATGTCAGCCAGCTTGAAGGATTGAACTTGTGAATGTTGTCAACAGCTGACCATCCCTCTCATCCAAACTGAACTGAGCCAGAATACCTAAAATACTACAAACTGTTTCTTTGACGTACTTGAGTACAGCAGTAATATTAATCCAAAAACAGACTTGTGACAACTCATTGACTTGCAACCCAATGAGTTGATCTTACCTCTGGTATTTAGCCGATAGTACTTAGACACTCACTGAGCGCAGGACTTTCACTTGGAGCTGTCAGTGTTGTCAGTAAATGGTCTGTATCCTCTTCCACCACTGATCAGTATGGACTTGTCACAAATTCAATTTCTCTTGGACAAAGCGATTTGAGGATGTGATTTTTGGCCCCTGTCTGACATTATATTAATATTTCAGAAACCCGTTGCTTGGCCAGGTGTTTCCTCCACAGCTGTTACAGACAGTCAGACATGTCATCTCCAGCGCTGCTCAACCTGCTCCGATGTGCTCGCTCCACCGTCACCAGGCAGACCTTCCTCGCCGTACGCTCCTCACCAGAAATATCCGCAGCTTCTGCACAGGTGAATCTGCATTTACTCACATACTGGACAGTACTTACATACAGTTTTGACACACTTGAACTTTACATGAGTATATCCATTTTCTACCACTTTTCTTCTTTTATTGTACTTTTACTGAAGTAACAATCGGAATTCTGGGACAGGAGGTAGACCGGGTTGTCCTCTAATCGGAAGATCAGGGGTTCCTCTGGTCTGCATGTCGAAGCATCCTTGAGCAAGATACTGAACCCCAAACTGCTCCTGATGGCTGTCCATCAGTAGCCTCAGCCACCAGTGTATGAATGTGTGTGTGAATGGGTGAATGTGACTCGTAGTGTAAAAAGCGGTGTGAGTGGTTGGAAAACTAGAAAGGTGCTATACGAATGCAGGTCCATTTACCAGTTATTAATTGCACCACATTCTCAGACCGCGGAGCGTACTCTGGACACAGACGGAGCAACAGAACATGAGGCGCAGTGACGAGAAACTTAATCGTTCATTCAGCTGGGTCAAGCTGCTACCCTCATCCATCGATCTGATCTGATCAGCTCTGATCGGATCTACTGATCAATTATTCACTCTGCCACTCTAAACTCCACAAGGACAGGAACACAAGAACACACAGGCAAGACACCCAACGCCACCGCCCCTGTCATCAGTTGCCGCCACACAGATTCTGTGGAAAACACTGAATGTAGTTCTGTCAGACTTCGGTATTTCTGCTGTTACTTATGTTAAGTATCTGAGTGCTTCTTCTTCAATTGGATTCGCCCACACCGGCCCTAAATACCTGGATTTATCAAACGGATAACGACCATGATTTATGTAAATGCTACGGCAAAATCAGTGACGACCGACAGATTTGTCAGTATCATCTCCCAGTATAATCGTCACACCACCCAGTCCTACCAGACCGCACAGTCATTTAGTTTTAATTTGCACATTGTCACTCAATCCTCACAATTTAATAGCAAAAACATTCAGCCAACCTTGTTCATTGTCTGATTGGTCTGTCTACAGGTGGGCGGAGCCTTGTTCGGGGTGGTGGGCGTGCGTCGCGCCAGCGGGTCGACTCTCTGTGACAGCAACGGCAGCGGCCGGCCGGTCACCTGGGACTCATTCGGTATCTGGGACAACAGGATAGAAGAGCCGATACTGCTGCCCTCCAGTATCAGATATGGAAAACCCATTCCACAGGTAACTGGATGAATGATAAATGTGTGGATGAATGGATGAACAGATGAATGAATTAATGGAGCAGATCAATAAACTGACACAAGGATGGATTAAAGGATGAAGAGATGAATCAGTGGATGAAAGAGAAGATAAATGGATGCGTTAACTGATCAATAAATGAATGAATATTTGGCAACATGGTTTGGTAAATGAATGATAAAAAGACACGAGTTGATGTATGAATAGCTGAATGAATGAATGGATGAGTAGATGAATGAATGAATAGTTGGCAGCATGGTGAGGTGAATGAATAGGTGAATGATAGATCTGTGGAGGAATGGGTGAAATAGATGAATGTATGCAGGGACTAACAAATACAAAACATGGCTGAATGAATGAATGAATAAATAAATATGGATGAAAGAATGAATTAGATGGATGCATGGATAAATATTATGGATGATTAATAGTATAACAAAGTAATACAAAAGACGGATGGATAAATGACTGGATAGATGAATAGATAATGAATGGATGAGTGGTTGGATTGGCTATATGACAAATGGATGAGTAATACATGGATGAAAGGATAATCAATCAATCAATCAACTTTATTTGTAGAGCGCTTTTCCTGCACGGACATGCAACACAAAGTGCTTTACAGAATTAAAAGCAATTAACACAATTAAAGAAAGAAAAACAATTACAAAGAAAGCCCCTCCCTCCCACCCTTCATACTAGACACACACACACACACACACACACACACACACACAATCACACACAATAGGGAGACATGGCATGGCACTGAGGATCAAGGAAACGCCACCTTTGGGGCCGTCCACACTGGGAGGAGCCGCAGGCCGTGCCATCGGGGGGGACCAGCACCCAGGCCCCCCAACTCCGACAGACAGGTGGACCCCCACATTGAAGGGAGGAGCCCCCAGCCGGCCGGGCCGAAGGGACCCAAGGACAGCACCCCCAGTAGCAGACCCGACACAGCTCCCAGTGTGGAGGACCCCCCTGAGGAAACACTGGAGTTAAAAGCTAAAGACTAAAAGCATAAAATAGGACTAAAAGAATAAATAAAATAAAATAAATACAGTACCAAAAATAAAATACATAAGATTATAAATAAAATAGAATAGATACAGTACCAGTGATAAATAAAAACAAAAAATTAAGATTAATATCATCTTAAAAAGCAAGATAAAAGCAGCAACATAAAATGGGATAGAACCAGATAAGAACATAAGAAGAGTTTAAAATATTAGTTAAAAGCCTGATTAAAAAGGTGTGTCTTTAATCTTCTTTTAAAAATATCAACAGTCTCTGCAGTCCTGAGGCTCTCCGGCAGGCTGTTCCACAGGTGGGGGCCATAGTGGCTAAATGCTGCCTCACCATGGGTTTTTGTTCTGGGTTTTGGTATGGTTAAAAGGCCAGTGCCGGAGGACCTCAGGGTCCGCGAGGGTTGATATGGTAAAAGCAGATCAGATAAATAAGAGGGCGCAAGGCCGTTAAGACATTTAAAAACGAGTAAGAGAATCTTAAAATCGATCCTGAAGCGGACGGGGAGCCAATGCAGCGACTCTAAAACCGGTGTAATGTGCTCCCGCCCTCTGGTCCTTGTCAGCACGCGTGTGGCTGAGTTTTGTAATAATTGGAGATTTAAAATACTCTTTTTGGGAAGACCAGAGAGCAGGGCATTACAGTAATCTAAGCGACAGGAAATAAAAGCATGCATTAGCACCTCCGTACTGGCCTGAGAGAGAAACGGGCAGACTCTGGCTATGTTCTTAAGGTGATAAAAACCTATTTTCGTTATATTTTTGATATGTGGGATAAAATTCAGCTCAGAGTCAAAAGTCACGCCCAAATTTTTTACTGATTGGGTTGGTTTAAGATCCTGTAGTTTTGGTAAAAGTTTCTCTCTCTTGCCTTCAGGACCTATAACTAAAACCTCACTTTTGTCCTGGTTGAGCTGCAGGAAATTCTCTGCCATCCATGACTTGATGTCTACAATGCAGTTAAAAAGGGTATCAATTGGCCCTGTGTCATCAGGAGACACGGCGATGTATAGCTGTGTTTCATCGGCATAACTATGGAAGCTGATGCCGTGTCTCCTGATGACGTCCCCAAGGGGAAGCATGTAAAGATTAAAGAGAAGTGGACCTAAAATTGAGCCTTGGGGAACCCCACATCCAATTTCATGGGTTCCTGAGGAACATGTATCCATACTTACATAAAAGCATCGGTCTGTGAGATAAGAACAAAACCAGTTAAGAACAGTACCTGAGAGGCCGACCAGGTGTCTGAGTCTTTTTAATTAAATGTGATGGTCTACCGTATCAAAAGCGGCGCTTAGATCCAGTAGAACCAACACTGTGAGCTTTTTGTTATCTAAATTCCACCTGATGTCGTTTATAATCTTTAGAAGGGCTGTCTTGGTACTGTGGTTCCTCCTAAAACCAGACTGATACCTTTCTAAAATGCTATTTCTATTTAAAAAGTCATTAACTTGGTTAAAAACCAGTTTTTCTAAAATTTTACTTAAAAACAGTAAGTTGGATACAGGTTGGTAATTATTAAAAATGTTGGGATCTAAATTACTCTTCTTCAGAAGGGGCTTCACCACCGCCGTTTTAAAGGCGGTTGGGAAGACACCCGTCTGAAGAGAGCAATTCATGATGTTTAAAAACTGCTCCTCAAAGAAACCATAAAACGTCTTTAAAAGTGTTGTGGGAATTGGATCTAAAAGGCATGTTGTTGGTTTTACTTGTGAGAAAACTCGACTAAGTGTCCTTGCATCAACCAGGGCAAAACTCTCCAGTGTTTCCTCAGGCAAGGACAATAGTCCAGGTGTGTTAACATTCAAAACTTTCTTGGATAACATGCTGGATCTGATGTCCTTGATTTTAGTTCTGAAGTGGTCTGCAAAGTCTTCACAAAGATCATCTGTTGGTGTCTTAAGAACTTTATTAAAATCAGTGCCTGTTAAAATATTAAAAGTGGAGAAGAGGAACCGGGGGTTGTTTTTATGGTTGGTGATGAGTTGTGAGAAATGGGAAATTCGTGCCTTTTTGACTGCGTTATTGTAGGTTTTGAGTTGTTGACGTAAAATCTCATAATGAACGGTCAGTTTACTCTTTCTCCATCTTCTCTCAGCACTCCTGCATTCTCTTTTCAGTTTATTGATTTCATCGTTTTTTCTCCACGGGGGTGTAGGTTTTCTTTTTATTGTTTTAGTTACAGGTGGAGCTACTAAGTCCAGAGTTGACTTCAGTTTACTGTTAAAATTATCAACGATAAAATCACAAGGTGCAGGTAAAATTTCAGCAGGAGTGCTCTGTAAAATCCCAATAAAATTTGCAGCCACTTCAGAAGTTAGATAGCGCCTCCTCACTGTTCTCACCGGGGCCTCCTCCTGGTTAAAACTGGTGATGTTAAAAAATACACAGTAGTGGTCGGACACAGCCAGGTCGACAACAGAGGACACACCGATGGACAGGCCATAGGTTATGACCAGGTCCAGGGTGTGTCCTCTGTTGTGAGTTGGATAAATCAGATAGATGAATAGATGGATGACTGAATTGATAAATGTATGGATAAATAACACATGGATGATAGGATTAACTAGATGGATGAATAGATGAATGGATAAACAAACAAATGGATAGAGGAATGAATAAATGGGTGAATGTATGGGTGAACGAATGAATACATAGATAAATGGGTAAACAATACATGGATGAAAGTATGAAATAGGCGGATTAACAGATGAGTGGATAATTTTGGATAAATCTGTGAATAAGTAGGTGAATGGATAGATGAATTAATGGATGACTAGTTGGCTACATGGTTGGTTGTATGACTTGATAAATGGATGAATGAATGAATAACATGGATAAAAGGATAAACTAGATGGATAGATAGATGGATGCATAAACAAATGGATAGATTAATGAATGAGTGGGTGAACAGATGGATGGATAAGAATGGATGAGTAGTTAGCTACATGGTTGGATAAATAAACTGATAACTGAATGGATGAATTGTCGATGGATGAAAAGATAATCGAGATGGATAAATAGATGAATGGATAAAAACATGGTAGATAAGAGAATGAGCAGATGGATGGATGACTGAATGAATGGATGAGTAGTTGGCTATATGGTTAAATAAATTGATAAATAAATGAATGGATGTGTGACAAATGAGTGAAAGGATTAATTACATGGATAATAGAAGAGTGGATGAACATGATGTATTGGCAAATGAATGGATGAGTACCTGGCTACATGGTTGAATGGATCAATAAATGAATGAATGAATGAATAGATGAATAACATAAAGATGAAAATATTAATGAGAAGAATTAATGAATGGATGAATGATTGTATGAATAGATGAACAGACAGATGACATGATGAATTAACCCTCTCAGGTCAGTCTGTCCCGGGTTGGCAGTGCATCTGTTTTGGGTCACAGGAAGCAGAACGAGGACCGCCTCCGTGTCGCCCGTATCCATGACAACCTGCTGTACTTTGCCGTGTTCGATGGCCACGGCGGTCCGCACGCCGCCGACTACTGCTACACCTTCATGGAGAAGTTCATCAGGTTGAATGTTATGTTATGTTATTGTGAAGTTAATAGTAAAACACGTACGAAGTTTTACACTTTAAAACATTAACACAGTTACTGACTGTTTGTGCTCAGAGATGCTCTGGAGGACGACGACGACCTGGAGAAAGTTTTAAAGAAAGCGTTTTTAGACGTCGACAAGGCTCTACACACACACCTCAGCTACTTCAACAATGGTGAGACACACACACACGTACAAGTACAGAAGTAATAATACCTACTAGATGGTACATTTTATGAGTACATGCTGTATCTACTGACTGCTAAGTTTCAACAGTAGAAGTGTCAGGAGCATTTTTGGTCTGAAAGGAGGAAGTGCTAGGAAAGAAATAAGGAGCGTAGGCATAAAAATGTTTTTTACTTTCACTTAAATATTTTATCATCTACTTTTTTTATTATTTGTTTTTATTGTCTATTTGCCTTTGTTTTAATGTGTTTATTTTTATTGCAAAGCTGCTTCAGCTACATCTCTTAAGGTTTATTATAAATAGGGGCAAAAAATATATAAATTGTTAGCTCACATTATTTAGTTCATATTTTTTGATACATCATAATCTGAGGCATTGACTGTTCTGTTTTGATGTCGCAACTAAGTTCAGTCCTTAAATATTCTTCCCTCAACGTACACTGATATGTTCAGTTTTTATGAATATAATAAAAGAAGAAAAACACTAGGAGTGAAGTCACTGTATTTAAAATTCTAACATAACCTAAGTACTAAAATGTAAAAAATATTTCACTTTTTTTAAATTTATTTTTTTACTATTTTTATTTTAAGCAGTTTTATGTTTGTGAAAAAAAAAAAAAAAAAAAGTGTGAAAATACATTTACAGATTAGTAACAAGTGAAGTTAGTTACAATCATAGTACTGTACCAAAAAACAAACAAATAAAAATAAATACTAAAAAGTACTGAGTATGTGAAACTACAAGTTACATACCCAACATGAAGTAAAAAGTGCTTAAAAAGTACTAAACACTACATATCCATCCTCCATCTCCCTCCCTAGCTTCCTTCCTGACAGCCGGCACCACGGCGACGGTTGCATTGCTGCGTGACGGCGTGGAGCTGGTGGTCGGTAGCGCTGGAGACAGCCGGGCGTTGGTGTGCAGAGAGGGACAAGCCAACATGCTCACCAGAGATCACACACCTGATCGCAAGGACGAGAGACAAAGGTACACACTGTTACTACCATGATTACATATTATTACAACAGTACTTTTACCACTACAGTGCTTTTAGTAATACACACCTGTCACCTGTGGAGACCTCGTGTGGTCAGTATTAAATTAAGGTATTATTAAATGAATAATCACGTTAGTCCTTCTCAGGCAAGCGCAGGGGTTTAGTGTTGCTGTAGCCCACAGGAACAACGCTCCATGGCACTTTTTTTTTTACATTCAACAGTGTTATCAAACACAACTGAGCTAGCTCGCCCCTCCCCCTCCCCGTCCCCCCTCATCCTCCGTGACTGAACGAGCGATAGCTGCTAGTTACCCTGGATTTACACCACCTGTTCAAGGGATAGTGCACCCAACATGAAAATTCAGCCATTATCTACTCACCCATATGCCGATGGAGGCTCAGGTGAAGTTTTAGAGTCTCACAACACTTGTGGAGATCCCAGGGGAGAGGGAGTAGCAACAAAACTCCACCTAATGGAGGCTGATGGCGCCCCAGATTCAAACGTCCAAAAACACTACTTGTACAGTGAGATTTTACAGATGCTACCTCTGCTATCACATTTACTGCTATTAATACAACTAGTAGGAGTAGTTAACACTGTTTCTACAGCTATTAAAGGAGGATGAAACATTCTGTCCAACGTCAGTCTGGAACTTCACATGTTGGTGGCTAAAAGGAACGAGGAAGATAAATAACAGACAGTTGGAGCATTGTTCTGTGTGTAAGAAACCAGACACTAAAGTGATGTTCCCATGGTGCTAATGTTACTCTGGGCTTTTTGTTCTTGCAGCTGTGGAAATTATTAATGAAAACTTTGGCATGCAGACTCTTTATATTTTCAGCCATACAGAGGGAAGATTGTGTTTTTGCAGATGTATTTTTTGTACAGAGTGAACGGTGTGGAATAAGGTCAGAGGTTCAGGTTGCTGTGCATAAATAGACTCTGCAGTATGTTGGTCTGTTGCAGGGGGACCGGTTTGGGTTTCCCTTCAGCCGGTGTTACATAACAGCGGAACGAGTCTATGTTTAACTCACCCAGGCACGTGTTTTAACACATCAGTCTGTGGCCTACAAACACAAGAAGTCAAAGTCGTTATCTGTCGTCAGCTGTCACTGATTTATAATCCTCTAAATATGAAAGGATCGCTCCCTAAAACTCAAGGACAGGTATTTCAGTACATCAGACAATAAGTCTCGAAATATCTCGATCCTTTTCTGAAGTAGACGTAAAATACTTAGTTAAAGTAATGTACTTAAAGGAACAGTGTGTAAGATTTAGGGGGAAGACTGCAGATTACAACCAGCTGAAACTTCTGCCGGTTAGAATTCCTCCAGTGTTCAGGAGGTTTTTACTGGGAGCCGAATTATCCTCACAGCTGTTAACTACTGTGGTCGATGTGAAAACGTAAATGTCTCCAAGTAGAGCAGTGGTTCTGAAATGGTGTGCAGTGGGATTTTGTGATAACCGCACATTATTATTATTGCAATATTCAATGGGACCTATACAAAAAGTCATGGAAGAATTTTTAATTGACTGTATCAGTATGTTGTGCGCTTTTTGTAACGGTTATTGCGTTTTGTGTACGCACCTTGTGTTTCTGTGCTCTAGGCACCTGGTGTTGATAGCAGGTTGTCAAACTGCCCCCAAGTCATCCTGAAATATGCCTGTAAACGTCCATGATGGAGGAGAAGCTCCTGGACCAACTGGTGCTACTCCCCATGATCCAGCCTCTTTTTTAGGGTCTCATGTACCCACACAGATCTCTGTTTATCTGCTGACAGCCTCTCACCCTCAACCGGAGGTACACACAGTACCCTCTGCCTCAACATGGCAGCAACTACACTATGATTACTGTCGAATAACTAAAATAATTAAATAAACAGTAGATTTATTACACGTGATGGTTAGAGTAAGGAGGTGATGGGATGGAGTGGCATTCACTTAGAAAAACAAAGCAGTGCTTTGCGCCTTGTGCTTTGCATTGCTTGTAGAAACAGCTGATGACTGTTAACAAGTCGAACACAGATACAAGTTACACATATAATAATGTATCCACATGGCTTTAAGAAATGACATCAAACCAAAACATGTTCCAGCTGTCCCCGGTCTCCCCTTTAAAGGAGCATAAATGGAAATGTTGAAGTAAAGAACAAGTCCTTTAAATTTATACTTAAATACTTGAGTAAATGTATTTAGTTACAGTCTATCACTGACTGTGTGCGTTTGTGTTAAGGATCCAGAGGTTCGGCGGCTTCGTGACATGGAACAGCGTCGGTGTGGCGAATGTTAACGGGCGGCTCGCCATGACTCGCAGCATCGGAGACTTCCACCTGAAAGGCAGTGGTGTCATCGCAGAACCGGATACACGACGGCTCACTGTGAGCTTCACTGGACGCTTTGTTGGCTCATATCAAAAAACTTGAGGTTCAACGCTGTTACCCGTCGATGTGCTGAGATGAAAGATTTTATCTGAGCTCCTGTGTGTCTCTGCAGGTCCAGCACGCCAGCGACTCCTTCCTGGCTCTGACCACCGACGGCATCAACTTCCTGCTGAGCGACCAGGAGATCTGTGATGTCATCAACCAGTGTCAGGACCCCACAGAGGCTGCTGACGTCATCGCTGAGCAGGTACCAGAGTTACGAGTCAAGTTTTCATCCAAATACCTTAACTGAATTTTCAGGAAATCCGCAGAAAAAAAAAAAAAAAAACACAAAGCGCATTTTCATTCACCACTGTTATGTGAATGTTAGCAGGAGGTGGAGCTTTTAATTATTTTATCTAACAGCTAAGAAATAATAAATAGTGAAGACAATAAAGCCTCCATAGAGTGGCATTTTAAGTCTTGTGTGTGATTTATCCTGTCTTCATATGAGAAGAGATAAACTCCACTAGCCACTAGGCTAATTTATGCAATGTCAAATGCCATAGGCTTTTGCTAATGATGTTAGCATGTTGTGCTTGTGGGGGAAAACGTGTCCAGCAATGGACAAATGTGTTGTCAGTGAACCTTGTGAGTTATAGAGGAAAACTCCACTAGCCACAAAGCTAAGTTATGCAATGTAAAATGCCATAGGTTTATGCTAATAACATTAGCGTGTTGTATTTGTTTGGAAAACATGTTTAGTATGAGACAGATAGTTTGTGGGTGAACCTTGTGAGTTGTGATTGAGTTTGGAAAGCTACTTGCTGTTGTCCCTGGCTTCTTTTTCTTTTTCTTTTGAAAGGTGCACTGGTTAGCGTGGCAGCAAGTCTGAGTAGCTCCTGCTTTTAAGTCATGTTTGAGTGTGTTTCTTTGTTTTTTAATGATTGGTAATTTTTCCACTGATAAGTAAAGTTGTGTACACGAGGGACGATCTTCTGGCTCTGAGAGGAACCACTTACGGAGTTAGACACCTGGCTGCAGAGCAGGAGCGAAGCTAAAGGCTAGGAGGTGGAGATACAAGCCTTCCCTGCCATCTGTAATAATGGGGAATGTAAACCCACTGTCAAACAAGTGTGACGAGCTTCTGGCACTAGTGAGGAGCCGACGACTCTACAGGGAGTGTAGTCTCATGTGCTTCACGGAGACGTGGCTGCTGACAATGTGCCTGACTCCTGTGTGAACCTACCAGGCTTCTGTACTGTGCGAGCGGACAGGGGTGCGAAGGGGAACAGCAAAAACAGAGGTGGGGGACTGATGCTGCTTGTGAACAATAAATGGTGTCATGCTGGACCTATCACGGTGAAGGACAAGATTTGCTGTCAGGATATTGAACTGCTAGTTTACATGTGAAATATTCATTCCCAATAGCAGGGAAGGTTTCTGATTGGATAGGGGACGGGGCGGATGTTACTTGTTTACGTTTACCGGAAGGAAACACTGTAGTCCTCACTCCAGATAACAAGATACTTGACGACGCCGTTCTTAGTGCCTTTTTCAGGCATGCTTTGCTTATATTCTTGAAGCAGCAGTACGACAACAACCTTGTTCTGCTAATGCTTCGTCTGTTGAGGAGGAGAAGAGAGGTAGAGGGTCGAAGAAGGGAGATAGAAGACCGTGGTTTGGCAAATGGAAACCGGTGAGTGCAATCTCTTGTTTTTAGAAGCTGCCATCTTGTCACGCGCGCGCTATATACGTCATCGCGCCAGAAGGGCAAGGAAATGAGCATGCGCAGAAAGACTGGAATGAACTTAAAGAGGAATGAGTGTATACAAGTGCGAGAAATTCTTTCACTCGGAATTAGAAACGTAATATTCCAGCGCCTTACATCGGATTGAATTTTCAATCGCATTGGCCATTTTCATTCTGAATTAGGTGTTTACAAGATCACTTTTAATAGGAATGAACTTTCATTCTGAATGAAAAGGGAATTAAACTGTCCATGTAAACACACTCATTACTGTTGCCTGGATTCAGACCCAGCATCCTCGTGCATTTATCTCAATAACAGGGGATTTTAACAACACGACTCTCTCAGTATGTAGACTGTCCCACCAGGCAGAATAAGACACTGGATTTGTTTTATGGAAATGCCAAGGACGCCTACCGTGCTTTTATGTGTGTTTAATGTGTGTTATAGGTGTGTTTTTGGTCAAACTTTACAGCACTTCTCAGTAACCCTCCGCCCCCTAGTGTTTTGTACATGGCCTCTGCATGAAGCCTACACACAACTAGAAATCAGCCCTTAGTGGTACAGACACCATGAATATCCACAGCTGTGTGTGATGACAGCTGCTCTGTTGGAGAACCTCCGATGTTGATGTGACACAGTTGGTGAAATAGCACTTCCTCTTGCTGTTCTTCATGTCGACAGGTCTAATGAGTCGATGAGACTGATTTACAGAATGATGTTTAAATGAAGCCTAGTGATCCATTTTCTTTACTTCCTGACCCCACTAGATGGAGCTCTTCATTCAACAAAGGGTCGAAAGCAGTGAACCACAGTTCCTTGAGCCTTTTTCTGTAATCCAAGAGCGCCATCTAGTGGGCTCAGACAATAAAGACAAATAGCTCCTGAGGTTTCATCTGGTCATCACTAGTGTCCACATCCAGAAAGTGAGGCCTGTGATCGTGCACCTGGTTTCACAATGATCAAGATGTATGAAATGGAATCAGGAGTACGAGCAAGTTTATGTGACAGAAAATGTGGAAAAACATTTCTGTGTGTGTGTGTTTATTCTTTTCAGGCGTTGCAGTACGGCTCAGAGGACAACGCCACCATCATCGTTGTCCCTTTCGGAGCCTGGGGGAAACATCAGAGCTCCACCGTCGTTTACAGCATCAGCAGAAACTTCTGTTCAAGTGGGAGATGGGCGTAGAGGACACACACACACACACACACACACACACACACATAAAACAACACCATGAAGTTGACTTCAAGGACACAAACATTTTTAATCTTTTTTAATGATTATAAAACCCCCTGAATTCATCTGACGACACTCAGCGGAGAATCCACAGTAACTTCAGAGCTTTAGAGTTGACTGTAGTATTAATGTGTGTGTCAGCTCGTCAACCGTGTACATAGGATGTAAATTAATATGTTGTACATACAGAGAGGTTTGTCGCAGTGTTGTTTGTCAATCCGTGTTTAGACAAAACATTTAACATCCCTCCTGTATTTCTGTCACACTGACAGTTCGCCCAGTCCCATTTGAAATGTCCAAAATGTCGACTTGTCAGGAAGAAAGTTTTGTTTTTTGAGTTTTGAGGTCAGAGTGGATTTGATGTGTTTTTTACAGAGGTGATAAACGGGGGTTTATTTTGTTCCAAACAAAAAGAACCATGTCACTGAAATGTCACTTTGCTTCATCATATCACATCAAATGCTAAACATTTTTAGCCCTTTGAGTGAAACTTACTGATGTTGAAAATGGCCAATTTTATGTCACAAGTAAAGCAGATGAAACACAGATGATAAATAACACATGAAGAAATAAAAGCCAAGGTAAAACCTGCCTATAATAACTGCACCTTGTTTGTTGTATTGATTCTGTGTGTTTGTGGTTCTGGAGCTTTGCTGTGAAAGAACATGGAGCCAAACTGCCCTGAATAAATACTAAAGATAAATGAATGGTATGGAACCCATAAGAGAAAAAGAAAAAGCATTTCTGTGACACACAGTTTCTATTAAAGGGACAGTTTGGATCTTTTGAAGTGAGGCTGTATGA